ACGATGCTCGTGAGTGTTGGACACTATCTGATGGAAACAACTTCAGGGTCCGGAGCAAGAGTTTTTGCTACGACAAATCAAAGGTTCTCGTAGTATTCATTTTAGAGTTATCTCATGATTCGTGGGATTTTGTTAAGATCCTCTTGGACATTGCTTTTTAGATTCCAGCAGGTAAACATACCATGGATCTCGTTGCGGTAGATTGGTTCAAAGATACAAAACGAATGGACCATGTTGCAAGGCGTCCTGGTTGTGCGGCACAAGTAAGTTTACAAAGGTGTAGGGTCTTGTACTCTGGTATCCCCAACTCCAACCCCACTCCATCCAAACACAACTACCTCCAGTCACTGAATAAAAAACAAACTAATTTGAAATATCACCATATATGCTCACATTAACAGAACAGAATGGAAAAAGTATTGAGATTCATATGTAATATGTTGGTGGAGCGTGGGAAAAATTATTTCTCTCAGTACAAGTTAAATGTAGAATATTCATACAAGAGAATAGGATAGCCACTTTCAATGAAGTATGCCTTGTTATGGTGCTGACTATGGTTGAATGAATGACACTGTTTCAAAACAAACAATTCTGCCTCCACACCCTGTGCTTCTGCTCTTAGTCAGTAACTCAGTACCATCTATGTACTTTTACTTCGGCTCTCAACTATCAGAAAAGAAGAAACTACAGCGGACCATGTTTTCTATCTATTCTTTAAGAAAAAATTGTTATTTGCAGGTCTTTGAAATTTTAACTTCATAACTACTGAAATTGCCATGTGTCATTTTGAAGTGAAGAGCATATATTAGTGAATCAGCACAAAGTGGGAACAGATAATTTCTTATTGGAAATAAAGCATTTTTACCTTATCTTTGTGCTGGATGGCAGTAGTGGTAGTGTGGATTTACTTTCTTTAGTAAAATTTAATAGATCAAAACTGTTCGATGCTTCTTCAATCCCCCATCGATTTCATCAGTAGGATTAAAGTGGGTAATTTGATAGGCTATTTTGTGCGAAAACATTTTGTTATTTGAGAGAAAAATTATTTCTCTCAGTACAAGTTAAATGTAGAATATTCATACAAGAGAATAGGATAGCCACTTTCAATGAAGTATGCCTTGTTATGGTGCTGACTATGGTTGAATGAATGACACTGTTTCAAAACAAACAATTCTGCCTCCACACCCTGTGCTTCTGCTCTTAGTCAGTAACTCAGTACCATCTATGTACTTTTACTTCGGCTCTCAACTATCAGAAAAGAAGAAACTACAGCGGATCATGTTTTCTATCTATTCTTTAAGAAAAAATTGTTATTTGCAGGTCTTTGAAATTTTAACTTCATAACTACTGAAATTGCCATGTGTCATTTTGAAGTGAAGAGCATATATTAGTGAATCAGCACAAAGTGGGAACAGATAATTTCTTATTGGAAATAAAGCATTTTTACCTTATCTTTGTGCTGGATGGCGGTAGTGGTGGTGTGGATTTACTTTCTTTAGTAAAATTTAATAGATCAAAACTGTTCGATGCTTCTTCAATCCCCCATCGATTTCATCAGTAGGATTAAAGTGGGTAATTTGATAGTCTATTTTGTGCGAAAACATTTTGTTATTGATAAATTTGTCACAAAACGTTATACAATTGATATATGAAGTAGTATAATCGTTCTGTATTCCAGGTTGCTTCAGAAAAAGGGCTCTTCTCTCTGGTTGTAAATCTGCAAGTGAGTTGATTCAAGTGATATTATCATTTTTGTTTCCAGTAGTTGTATTTTTTTGTAATATATTTTTCTTCTTTAAGGTACCTTCTTCAACGCACTACAGCATGGTTTTTTATCTTGTCACGAAAGCTCTGGTACCTGGTTCTCTGTTTCAACGATTTGTAGATGGGGATGATGAGTTTCGCAATAGTAGGCTAAAACTAATACCGTTAGTGCCCAAGGTATTTGTTCTCTTATCACATTGATACGCGTATTTAGTATCAATTTGTCAGTTGTCAAATTCTGGTGGATACCCACAGTGGCTACTCACCCCTCGGTTGTTGGTAGTGGATGTTGAAAGCTTCACCTCGCCCCACAGTGGGTACCAACCGTTGTGTGTTTTCCATTTTCTGCTCCATTACTTTGCATAGTATGCCACAATACATGTCACAATGTCTCAACTCTCAAACTCTACCTTACATTTCATCCTCAAGAGTCATGAGCCTTCAGGATCTTCTTATCCTATTAGAACAATGTGGGCACTAATATCATGTGAAATGGTGGAGCTTTTATTGATTTGTTTCAAATAGTTGTACTCTAGCAAAATGATGACACCTAGTGACTACACTAGTGTGAATGTTTTCTGAAATAATTATATCTTTTTACATTGTAATTGCTACAGGGCTCGTGGATTGTGCGTCAAAGTGTTGGATCCTCCCCTTGCTTGCTCGGTAGGGCTGTTGATTGTAACTATATTCGAGGTCCTAAGTATTTGGAGGTAAGGATTTTTGGATCTGGAATTTTCTGTATACTAAAGCGTTCGATGTGCATAAATATGTGTTCAGATACTATTTAGATTCACATAATTAATCATGTTCATCCTATTTTTTAAAGATCGATGTTGACATTGGTTCATCTACTGTGGCTACTGGAGTTCTGGGTCTTGTGATTGGTTTAATTTCAGCACTAGTGGTCGACATGGCTTTTCTTATTCAGGTATGTATTCTTGTTTGTTCGTGAGTTTTTGCATCTGATGTGGTAGTGCTTCATTATCATTTCAACCTTTTACTCTGGCCCACATTTAAGTACTACCTCCGTACCAATAAGCTTCGTCATCTCATAAAATTTGGACCATGATTTTGATTAGTATAATATTTATCGAAGTTATAAATTTTATACTTTTATGAAAGTACTTTTAACAAAGAACATTTTCATATCATTTTATATATTATAAATAATTTCCAATAAAAGTATGTAATTGGTCAAAGTTTTAAAGATGACAGAGTTTTTTCGGGGTGGAGGTAGTATATAATAATAGGGTATTACCTGCTCAATTAATTGGTCTTCAGCTGCACATCAACATGCTAGAGATATACTTTTAGATTAGCCATTTACCCCCACCCAGGATATCTATTCTTCAGAATGTGAAAACTTATAATTCAAATAGCATGGTGGACCAATTTAACACTTTGCTAAACAGATTGTTACCAAACCCGAAACAAATTTGTAGTTGCATTGAGTGTTATAAACTTATATTATAATGATGATGATGTTTTGGTCAACCTGCTCTAACAAAGTATTTGACATTCATTTATCTAATGTTCAGGGAAACACTCCTGAAGAGTTGCCAGAGCGGCTCTTATGTGCTGTCCGAGTTTCGCACGTAGAATTGAAATCTGCTATTGTGCCAAACCTGAAGGCGGATGGATTAGATTAGGAGTAAGGCCAAGTCATGCCCAATTATCAGCTTCACGCATTGGTTCCTTATATATTTCAAGTATACATTTTTTTATATAAATAAATAAACTTCCATAATTCTTTAATCTCTTATATATACGGAGTAGTACATAATTTTGTATATCCCAGAATACAAATGTGTGGGTGGTGTACAGGCGTAAAGTAGCGAGGCAATCCTGCTTGCTCTTAGTTTATTTTCTTATTTGCTTACTCATAGGATCAGTTTGGTAATATTGTTACAATGGTATTATTGGTACAAAGTATTGAGCTGTGAATAAATATAATGTTTCGAAACATATGATTTAAAGTAGTGTGCATGATTGTACCGAGGAGACTTGAGTATCAAGTTCCGAAGCTCTACCAAAATTTGGTCTGTTACTAAGAACCGAACTGAAATTGAACAAGCTATTAGCTGCTACTATTTTCTGAAAATGTGAAAGGTTTCGTTCACTCCCCTATACCCCAATTTTTTGCTTTCAAATCTGGTTGGGGACTGGAAACGGAAACTAAGTCATAACCTTAACTAAGAAATTGATTTTTTTTGGATCGGAATTTTATTTATTCAACATAATGCCACTTTTTTTTTTTTTGGAACAAACAAAATGCCACTTTTATAATATGAGAATGTCAAAATTATTGGTTATTTGAAAAAACTGTCACGTTTATGGCAGTATATTTATCAAAATGACAATCTGAAAATGTCATTTTTGTCCATAAGAAAAAAATGTCATTCTTATGGTATTCTATGGCATTTTTATAGCTTATCTGAGAATGACATAACTAATTGTTATTAGAAATGACATGTTTTCCAAATGATGTCATTTTTATCGCGAACTCTCTCTTTAAAGATGGCTATATGTAATTGTCGCATTCATGACATTTTGAGAGCAAACACAACATTTCAAAAAAAATGGAGGGGGGGGGGGGGTGGTGGTGGTGGAAGAGGAACGACTGTGATGTTGTTACATATGTAATTGCCATATTCATGACATTTTGAGAGCAAACACAACATTTTAAAAAACAGAGGAAGAAGAAGAAAATCAATGGAGAAGACAAAGAGAAGAAGAAATCAGAGGAAGAGTCAAATTTCTGAAATTGGTGGAGTTTCCTATACACAAATTGAATGGAGATGGAGGAAGCAGAACAAGATCAAACCTGGAGTACTTTGAGACATAGCAGAAGAAGAAGATTGAACCTGGAGACTATGTAGCAGAGAAAAACGTGTAGTGCAGGAGAAGAGAAGAACGGACACTGCAGGAGAAGAAGATCGATGATGTTGGAGGCGGTGTCTACAAGCAGAACATAGCGATGAGAAAACCAAGGGCAATTTGGACATTGAAGAAACAGAGGAAACTTAAATTAGGAGCGGATGACTCCTATAATGGGAAAAAAAGATGTTATGTTCTACTTTGGCGGCTTTTTATCTATGTTTTAGTCCCATTTTGGACAATTTCTTATTTAATAACTGTCTAAGTAAAAACATCATGTTTGGCTTCCAACCGGCTTCCATTTCCACCGCAAAATATTGACTACTCCCACTACTTCAGGCCCGTTGTAGTCAATGTTATTGGCAAAAATAATAGATGATTTCACAAAGTTTCACAAAAAAGTGCTTGTTAAAATCATTTCAGCCAAATAAGTAAATCAAAAGCTACTTTTTCTGCTTCTTGTAAATTAAAAGCATAAAAATCCCAATCAGGCTACAAAAAAGCTTCTAAATCCAAATTCATTGAAACTCCAAAGAGATGAACGTTCACATTCCTCTTTTCACCTTACTCAGTTCCCTTAAGGAAGTGGAGCTTGGTAAGTTGCATCGATGTCTTTCAAGGTGCATTTAACTTTGGTTTCTCCATTAACGTTTTCCATGAGATTGTCGGAGGAGCTGAACCCGCCGGGCCAAAGAGCTTTGGTTTCCTGTATGCTGCTTGGGGAATTGATCATGGCTACCGATAGACTCTTCTGTGCTTTCTCTAGTATCGCTTCCAAGTACTTCCTTTGTGCCTCTAACCTCATCTTCAATTTCTTTTGCACTACCTGTTTATGATGATCAGATTTGGAAGGCCTTCCTATCAATAGCAAAAAAGCGCAAGATAATCAATTCCAACCTCAAGCTGCTCTTCAACCCTGTTCTGGACTTCATTCTGATATCTTGTGGGATCTGCAGATGGAATTTCTCTGCTTTGAATCAGCAGCATTATATTGTAAGAAAACCGATGTGAAGTAAACTAAATAAGAAAACAGAATGCAAGTTTTGAGTTTTATCTGGCCTGCCTACCCTTGCATATGGTTTATCCTTGTGCCTGAGGCATGGATGCTGATATTGGAATGCCTGCAAGTATATTCTAAATACAAACATGAGCTAAAGATTAAACTTTAAGAATTTATTAATATCCAGAAATAAGACAAGTATCTTAGTGGGCGTTTGATAGAGGCACAGTTCTGGGATTTTCAACCTTATCAATCAGATCGTTTTTACTAAATCCAAATTTTAATTTTTTGAACAGATGCAGGGGATACTTTATTATGCTGCAGATGACCGATCCTCTTACTCGTTTTCGTAAAAAATACATTTTTTTTCCCACCATTCAACCGATTGAGCCACAATTTCATAGACTACAACATATTAAATCACTTATGTCACTTTAAACCTTACCAAACGAGCTTTCAATCAAGCAAATCATTGTGAGACATCCATTACCTTAATTACTCACTTTAAGCCTTAATCACATACTTCTTTGTTTTAAAATGAAAGATGAATACATTTTGTATCCCAAGAAAAGACGGGCAAGTGATACACACAAATAGAACTATAGAACTCACCATTATTCCCCTTGTTTTGTTGTGCTGCATTTGGTTTCTGAACCTGCTGCTGACAAATCCTGTACTTCTGCAAATCAAAAGAAAAAGAGGAAAAAAACGAAATTGAATATCTGAATGCTCTTATTGAGATTTAAACATGGCAGCAAAATTGTACTTGGAGATGACTCTTGAGATGGTACAAAGTCAACCCTTTCAACCCCATCAACCCTAATACTGATTTTGGGGTAGCTTCTGCAAAACGCGAAGTGCTAATCAGATTAACAAAGCTTGATTTGGGATACAAAATTGATGAGTGGACTCGCTTACTGTCAGGTCCACCAAGCTTGGTAACGGCATCTACAAAGCGATCATGAAGATCAGCCGTCCATCTCAGCCTCGGCTTCGGATCTCTTGACATCGCCCGTCCAGAGCCGCCGCCGTCCACATATTGGTAGCACCTCTCTCCTGCGCCGTCTCTAAACACTCCGTCCATCCAGCTGCCGCCGAAAATGGCTTGGTAAACAAACCATCCGGAAGAGTAACAGGAGAGAATGGATTATTTGAGTATTTGCTGGAGTGAAAATGCGAAGACAATGGAGAGGAAAGAACGGCGCCGAATGTGAAGAAAATTGCATCCAGACAATAAATTACGGCGCCGAATGGAGTCAAATACACAGTCACATGGAGGGGTCGATTTGAATTGCATCATAACCCATGCTTAAATCCTCTCTGATCGAAGATCTGATCATCCTCTCTAGCCTCGAACTATATCAAAGTAGTTGTTTAACGACCTTAATCAGTGCCCAATACTGCTTAAACCTTTTCTCTCATGCATTTTTCAAACATATTTTTCCAAATTACGATACTTTTAAATTTATTTTTTAAATTTGGGTATTTTTTTACCATGTGGATCTTACTACCAAGTAGGGGTGGTTCGGTACGGTATACCTTATATTTTTTCTCATACCTTTGTCATACCAAAACTTTCGGTATGCAAAATTTGCATACCTTTACCTTACCGAAGTTTCGGTATACCGCATTTCGGTATACCGAAGTTTCGGTTCGGTAACGGTACGGTATCGGTAAATTACCGTGCATGTCTCCCAATACAAAAAATTATCATAGACTAACGAAATATACTAAATCGTTATTACTAGCAACATATTAAATCTATTATTAAAATGTTACGAAATAGAATTAATAATCTATTGATGTCAATTCAATATTGAACAATAATTATTATTAGTATATTTAAGCAGTTCAACATACCACATATTAAAAAGTAACACTCTCCTAAAAAAACTTGAACAATATAGATATAATTAAATCAATAGTGATCTCTAACAAAAATAAATAAAACTATTCAAACAATATGGATATAAAATCATTTATTCCTAATATGATATTGTGTATTTAGTCATTTTTATAATTTTTTAAAAATTGAATAAGACTTTCGGACAAAGTTGTGTATCTCGACTTGCTGAATCCCTATGTAGATACACTTGTCACCTAAGTGTATCTATCTTCACTCGTCAGCTACTTAGCGACCCAACCATCACGACTTGCAAGCTCTTGGAACAACATGGACTTGTTTCTTGACATTTGTACATTACTCATTAGTCATTTAAGGTTAGCGTAGTAGAAGCCTATAAGGTTACAGTGGGTTTGAGAAATTGGACCTTTATTTTTGTATTTTTGTATTTGTAACCAACTTAAGTATTAATTTTGGGCTTCAAAATTGTAATGGATTTCTACAATATATTAGAATTAAAAGTAATTGTTGAGTAGGGAGTCGGTACGGTATTATACCGGTATACCGCGGTATTTGAAAACATTTACCGTTACCGTACCGAAATAGACCGGTACGGTATGATACCGTACCGAAAATGACGGTATACCAATATTTCGGTATTTTCCGGTATTTTTCGGTACGGTAAGTGCGGTATACCGATATTTCGGTATTTTTGCCCACCCCTACTACCAAGTCACCAAATCAGCTTATCCACATCATCTTAACAATTCCATGTCATCCAATTTTAATAATTTAAGTGTGCTTTAAAAATAGGAAAGTTCTTTGGTACACCACTATTTCGAGATGCTTTGGTGCATCATCTATTAAAACTCATTTTCAATAATATCCACGTAAGTCATCTATTAAAAAAAATTAAAAATTGCATAGTGATCCTTACACTACAAAAAAAATCATGTACGCCTATTCACACGGTACTCGACCATTCCCCATTGTTGCCATTTCGTATCTGGCAAAGAAATTGAATACGCACAACAAAAACTTAGAGTTGATGACACCTACCTTGGATTGAGATGCCGGATTTTCATTCCTCCGGCGCGACCCTTGGTTTCTTCGCCTCCTAGAGGCGTCTCTCGCAACCTTCTTTCAGCGGATAACGCACAAGCTAACCTCAATTATTCTTTCAGCGTAAAACGATAATGTTGTAGATAGTGGGAGGGCTTCTCTGCAATTAACTTACTTTTATTGAAAAAACTGACTTGGATTAAACTATCAATCACATGCTGTTAAATGTGAAATGCACCAAAACATCCCTCAAAGCATATGCACCGTAAAATACTCCTTTAAAATATACAAAAATGGAACCTGCTGGAGTTCAAACCCGTGTCAAACAAAAAAGGGCGAATTTTACAAGCATCATGAACCACTACACTACACCACTCACTTGTGATGAACCACTACACTACACCACTCACTTGTGATATTAATGCTTTTACAATATGTAAAGCATACATTCTTAAGTCATGGAGTGTACTATCGCTTAATCGCATTTATTATTCGTTCCTTTATAAATATAATACTTCTTTCCTAAACAATTAAAAAATACAAGAAAAACTTAATTTGAGTTATTCAATTAAAAAATATAAACTTAATCAAGACTTACAAAAAATACAATTTGCGATATTTAATAATAATAAGCGCGATTAAGAGATAGTACATTGCTGCACTTAATGATATATGATTTACATATTGTAAAAAACATTGATGTCACAAGTGAGTGGCATAGTGTAGTGTCTCATGATGCTTGTAAAACTTGCTCCCCTTGTGTTTGATGCGAGTTGAATCCCAATAGTTTCCTTTTTTGTATATTTTAAAAGTACACTTAAACTGTAAAAATTGAATGACATGAAATTGCTAGGATGATGTGGATAATTAAGCTGATATGGTGACCTGCGGTGATAGTGAGATGCCATGGCAAAAAAAAACCCTTAATTTAGGAAATATGTTTAAAAGTACCTTAGTTTGAAAACTACTCTCCTTTTCGAAAAAAACTCGCTTAGTTTAAGTAGATGAAAGTTACTCCTCATTTTATCCTATCTTAATTACTTTACTTTTTGAATTGTTCCACAACTTTTACCTTTTCAATCAATAATTGTGCAAATCTAAAGTAGGTCACATAAAATAGAACGGATGTCGTAATTTTCTGGAGAAAATATTAAGATGTTTTTTTTAAATGTGTTAATAGATAAGAATCCATGAGTGAATGTTTTACGTTACTTAGATGTATTCTTGTTCGGATAAGACCAGACCAGATCATATCAGACCATACTAGTTCAAATCAGATCAGACTAGATCACATTAGACCAAACTAGTTCAGATCAAACCAAATCATACCAGATCATATCAGATCAGACTTCGACAGTTGTAAAATACACAAAGAACAGACACTTACCAGACCAGACAAGACCAGTTCCGACCAGACCAAATCAAATCAGATCAAACTAGAAATTTTCAGCCCAAGTAAAAACATTGTTAGAATCCAAGATCGGATGTTATTATTTGGACAAATTGTAATCTTACATAGGACCATATCAGATTTAATAGACCAAATTAGGTCAGAAACGTAAACGCGTTACACCATTATAGAATAAACTTTGACAATAGTAAAATACCCATATACCGGTCTTTTAATTACCAAATCAAATCAAACTTAAACATATCAAATCTAAACATACGCGATTACATTAGACCACATTAGAAGATTCTAATCCAATCTAAAACATCTAAGTTTGAAGTATTATTGTTAATATCTCAAATAAGAGGTGACTGGTTCGAGTCACATCTTGATTAAAAATGGTAGCATTATCTTAACAATATACTACTCCGTATAAGTCTATAATAGGTTTAGGGTTGGTTTGCAACTCCTTTTAAAAAAACACTTCTCAACTTTTGGCTTTAAAAAAATACTTATTTTCCCAAACATTACAACTTTTATTTTTCTCGGCTTTCGCGTCAAAAGTGCTTTTACTTTTTCTATTACACAAAAAGCATTTCTTTTACCAAACACTACCCACTTTTACTTTTCAAAATCACTTTTTTCTCAAATACTATCAACTTTTATTTAATCACTTCTCCCCATTTCATTAAAAAAAATACTTTTATAAAAGCAGAAGCTGTTACAAACAGACCCTTAGAAATATAAGAAAAGAAGTAAAAAAAACTACATTATCAAATGAATGCTTAAATCTAATCAGATTTTTATTTATATTTATATTTTTATTGAGAACAAATCTAATCAGAATTATTGGTCTTCATAAAAAGATAATGAAGTAGAGAAAATTAGCAAGTCATTATAAGGCCGGCCGGTTGCAACCTTATGGGTGTAAAGTACGAATTTACTCTTTTGAATTAATGGGAAATGTTGATTTACGAATTTACTCTTTCGAGTTTTGACTTACTTTTGATCATATTTCATTTTTCCGAAACGTCATGTATATTATTTTTGCCGAATTCATTTCTTTTTTCAATACAAATTACTGTATTATAACTACTTCTATAGAAAATAAATAACTATTGTGCCTATTAGATCGGTGACCTAGTTTGATTTGATGTGTGATTAAAATCAATCCCAAGTCCCAACTAATAGAAACCTCTTAATTAGGCTGTACGCAATAGAAAAATTAAATTTAACATATTCACTCCTAAAAAACCCTCCAATCCATGTATTTGGAGGTGCCAAATGGGAAAATGGCATGGGGGGGGGGGGGGGTTGGCACCCATCAGCGACGACGCTCGTGATCAGCCCTTTTCACATTTTTTCTCTTCCAATCAGGGACACCACTCAATGCCATTCTACCCATTCTAACCGGACGACGCTGCGTCAGGCTTAGGAGTATTTTTTGTGTTAATTGACACCACTCAAAAAAATTATGTGTATATGTATATATAAATTGAAATTTTAAAGAATGACACTAGTTTTTATAAATAGGATTAATATATAAAAAGTGACACCACATATTTTCCAACATATCTAGTTATCTACTCTCTCTATCTAACATTTTTTTCAAGTTTGATTGAAACAAAAATAAAATAGAAATATATTTTTCAAACAAAAAATTGAATGGTGTTAGCAATCAAGTGGTTATTTCAAAGATTTTAAGATATACTCCCTATATTACTCTATATATGAGGAAGCGGTCCGGCCAGTTCAACTGGCTGCCAATTCAACTCACTCTTACTTATGGGAGGTCTCGGGTTCAAAAATCAATGAAGTGAGTTTCAGTCTAGTTTATTCCAGAATCGTCATAACTCCACTTTTGACTCACTATAACTTTTCTACGTTACATATTTTCTTAGAAAAATATATAAGAATAATCTCAGCTATTGGCGATCCACTTGAAATAATCCAAACTATAAACTATCTCAAAATAATTCCAACTATTTTGAAAAGTATAACATGCATACAAAAGTAATAGTGTATCACATTGACTTAAAAGTCACGTTCTCATGATTCTCATGTTAAGCATGATTTTCAGTTGATTGTAACTTTGATTTAGTTAATGTATGAATAGGTA